GGTTCCATTTTCCCTCACGATCCTTGGCCATGCTGTAGGTGGCCTAGGATCATGCCCTCTTGGTGGCGCATAGGCGTTAGCACTAGGTCGAGGAGTCTAGAGACGCAAATAGACTAGAGCAGGAAGGTCGGGCAGGCGACGCTCGACGCAGTGGGCCTCGCAGCGCGCTCATCAAAAGGAGGGGGATTCGTGGCAATCAGTAAGCGAACTTAGTACTTAATCTAGAAATGTAGACTACAGGAACAAAAAGTGAGAGGAGGGGGAAAGTTATGTAGCTTTGCGTACTCCCTTAGGCGCTGGGTCGAGGAGAGAGGCGGGGGCAGCGCGGTTTGGATCAGTCATCGGGCCCCTAGGCGATTGGCTTGGTGAAGGTCTTCCCTTATGGGGGAAGGGCCAGAGCTCCCCTTGACCGGGTTGGCCCCGCTGGTGGGGCCAGGCACCCAGGTGGAGGGACCTGCCATGCCGCCGCCGCCGCTAGATGCACCGGGCGCATTCCCAGGCCTCGGCTGGCCAAACGTCGCTGCTCGAGCTCCCCCATTGTCCTCATGAACCTCTAGAGGCTTCGGTGTGGTCATCGCCATCGCCCTCAGGGGGGCGCATGGAGTGTCACCGCACAAGTTTCCACTTTCGAAGCTTGCACTCTGCCTTGGTGGTTTCTAGGTCCGTTCGCCACGCCTGTAGGCGATTAGCATCCTCCCTAAGATGGTTTGCATGGCTACGGGGACCCTGGTCCAGCGGCATGAGCTTGCACGCCTCTTAGGCGGGAGCCTTGTCGTTGGCGTGACAATGTTTGTGGGGCACCGTGTCGTGTTCGGCAACACCGGAGTGATCCTCGAATCGCCCCCTTGTAGAGTCCTGAAGAAGGCGCATAGTGAGGGGCGTCGGCCCTTGCCGTGCCGAAGAGGATGGGGCTCCACGTTGTCTTGCGGACGACAAGGTGCTCTAGTTCCATCTGGAAGGATATCACCGTGCTCTGGATCCCGAAGGGGAGGTCCAGGAGGCAGTACCAGAAGTGGTTCGGCCATGGGAGCACCTCGCCGGTGGCGATCCGGTGATGAACATTGGCCAGCATGTAGAACATCTTGCGGTTGTCTGACACGGTGGGGTTTAGGCCCAAACCACGCCAAATCTGTAGGGCTAGGACCTTGAGATCTGCCCTCGAGGGCCCTGGTGAAGGGGGCGACGCCGAGGGCTCATTGCCTGCCAGCGCTGCCTCAAGGAGTGGACGAAGCTCGCTATAGCAGTCGGTGATGTAGGCCAGGCTCCCAAAGTTGAGGACCTAGCCCGGAATGAAGGCGCCGACCGTGATGGAGAACTAGTCGGGGAAGCAGACACCACCGTCTAGGGTGGTGCCACTTGCTCCAGCGATGAGGCGGGTGGCTCCGACCACCGTAGAGCATGAATCACACTTGACGCTGCCCCTTACCTGGCGCACCAGCTGTCGTAGGGTCGAAACCGCGGCAAGCATTGTTGTTTGAGTCGGTGTAAGAGTATGGGTCTCTTTGGCTCGGGTGGACTCAAGAACACAAGAATCATAGAGATGACGCAATGGTTTATCCTAGTTCGGGTCAATCGATGCCCTACGTCCATTAGTTGATGTTCCTTATACTCAAAAGCACCTAAAATCGGGGGGTTACAACAGAGTGTAAAGAGAGATTTGGTAGGGGGTTAGCTCGGAACTAATCCTAAGGTTGCCTCACCGTTGGTGGAGCCTTCCCCTCGTCAGAGAGGAGAAAGATGACGGGATGCGGTGGAGGAGCTCTCAGTGCCCCTCTCTGGGTTGCCTTGCTCTCGATGCTGAGCAGAGGCCAAAAAATGGAATGGAGTGGAATGATCTATCTTCTGATCGATCGTCCCCCCTAAGGTTTGACCTTATCCCTTATATAACGAGATTGGTCAGGTACATGGCGGTTTGGGGAGCGAGTCTATGGTCTACATGCATCGGAGTCCAGGAGGGCCTTGCAGCGACGCGCTGTGGACCGTAGCGGTGTTGTGGAGCCAAAGAAGCCTTGGGCATCATCGACTGCTCTGTTCTGACACTCTGCGTGTCAGGCTGTGTCAGCTTGGACCTGCCTCCCCTAGGTGGACCTTCTGGAGTCTTCTTGGCAGTGAAGGAGGTTGGCTCCAGGAGCTGACGTGCAGGCCTGGGAGCCCCCGAGCACCTGGAGGCCATGGAGAAGCTTTGTCTTCTTGTGTCACGCCCCGTGCGTGACCTTGTTGGGGAAGTGGCCGACAATGCCGTGCACAAGGGGCAGCGCCGGGGAGCCTCTGAGCCACAGTAGCTTGGGTGTGTCTTCTTGTGCCCAGGCCATGGCTGGCGTCATTGGCCGGGCAGGAGCCAAGGGCCAGGTAGGAGTGTTGTCGTAGATCGGGAGCCTGAGGCGCAGGCAAGCCCCTGAGCCCTGAGCGAAGGTCGTGGCAGAGTCAGGCTCGGCTGGGTTTCTTCACCAGAGGGTGCTTTGTTATTCCTGTCATTTGATTACTATTGGATAACAACTCATACTTATATTTCATAGATATTATGGAGTTGCAGCACACATTGGACCAAGAGAAGAAACCAGAACAAACTTCAAAATGACAAAAGTCCGTGACATTGTGCTCCTGATTGAGTAAGCTACTTTTTCCTCCACAAAAGACACAACAAACATTTAAGTGTTTACATGCACACTACCGCAACACCCTGTTGAGCTCAAAATATTTCCTAATGTTTCTGCACATCTTAAATTACATTATTTTTCACATCCAGATTTACAGTGGCCAAAAAGTTATGGTTCAATTTTGGGGACCAAAGTTCAACAAACCGATGAGAGGACAATATCTCATGTCATAGCAATAACATCAACAACTATGAAAAAAAATTTAGCAGTAGGTCTTCATTCAATATCAATAATTAAATAATATTAGCCTTTCAGCAAACCTAAGGGGAATAATAAATTTATAACCAAATGTCAATTCTGTTTCATGGCAAATATAATTATGAATCCATTTTTACTACCTTTTTAATACATTATTCAGATATGATTTGCATTAAGATTTATCACATGTATTTATCTACAATCATATACCATTCAGTCAGTTTGAGCCATTCTACAAGCAACTCATGTGCAAATATACAATCTACTATTATGCCTACATAATAATTGCTCATTTAATGAAGCACACATATAAAAAACTAAAATAAAGACCCCATGCAACGTATAACTAATAATATAAGCTATCACAAAAAATCTCTATAAAGTAGCTATATATATTTATAAATTATATACTTATATAACTATTAAGTTAAAAATAAGTATAATGTTATGTTCCACCATATAGACCAACTAAGTATACATTAGAATAACTATTTATTTTAACAACATACCATGCATGAAAAAAAACCCTTAATAAATGGAATAGTGATTAAGTTATATTAATACTCCAATATAATAAATTTTGCATTTTGTTATTCAAGATAAGAGCAAGTATAATAACAGGATGTAAGTAGGCTGAATGTTGAGGTGGAGGAGAGAGAAAAGAAGAGAGAGAAGTTGCCTGTAAGCTTACAGCCAGCTTAAACACAAAAAACAATAAACTTTGTGAGAGAGACAAGTAGGTCAGACATTAATAATGAAGAGCTAACTACTATATAAGTGGGCTGAGAGATTGGTTACAAAGATCTTACAGTAAGTAGCCAACCGTATTAATAGCCTTGCTCTAAGTGTACACATTTTACTGAAAGATTATATAATATATAAACACTCTATGTTCTAGAAAATGATGTTATAATATATCATTATAAAAGTAATGTAAAGCAACATATTTAGATTTGTGTCTAAATTATCTATATCTTACTGTTATTTTAGTAGCTTACCAATAAAGATTTAAATAACCATAAAGCACAAATATGTTTCTCCATTGCTTATTTTATAAATATCAATACAATAAAAAATTGAGTAAAGTAAAGATACATATTGTGCCAACATGCAAATCACACACACGCACACATACTTAAGATATACATTTTTTATATTTTAACTAAAATATTTGACATATCTATATTAATAATATAACCATTACTACATAAATATTTTGTTGATAGAAAAATCAAACATCTTGAGAAAAGGAAGAGCTTAGTATATACCATAGGTGCCTATGTCTTCCCCATTGTAAATCTCACATCAAACTCTGTCACTAATCTTAAGTGACATGGTGTAGCCTTAACAATTAATGATTACTTATGTCATTATGATACTTAAGAGTGAATATTAATACAAACGTTTACTCATATGCTTCTAACCCGTGCGAGAGCACAGGTTGATGGAGTAGTATTATAAATTAAGGGGTAAACAAGCACGGCTTTAATAAAACAGAGCGAGAAGTTGTCTTTCAGAGCTTTTAAACTTTTTTGCAGATTTGGAATTTTCACGTTCAAATACAAAACTCCACCTTTTCTCACCAGGATGAGTAACACTCACAAACCATGCCAACTCCTCTTAGGCCTTATTTGAATGTAGTCGGATTCGCATCAATCCACATGTACCACCTCAACCTATGTAGATTGATGCGAATCCGATTACATCCAAACAATGCCTTAATGCATCCACAGGTACATAGGGTAAATACAAAGGTAACTAAGATCCTTGCTCAGTCAAAATCATTCTGCATGGATAAGAGAATATTCCAAATGAGCTCCATTGGAATCATAAACACCCCCCTTCGGATTCACTTAGTCCTCGGCCAAATTGCAATAGAGACGCCGGCTAAAAAAATGTGCTGCGACGACATGTTCATAGCAGCATCATCGATTCACCCGTCCGTTGGCCGTCCTTACGACATGTCCAAGGATCTGTCACGTACTACGTACTACATCTTATCAGCTACCGCATTCGCTGAGCTATAAGAAGGTGCGAAGCATACTATTTGCGACACCAAGCCATCCAAGCAGCAAAGCATAGCTCGAGCTCTATTCTTCTACACATAATACATCTGCTTGCACGGTTGAAGCGGCAGCACTCGCAATGGCGAACCATGGCGCCGCCGCCATCATCCTGATCCCGTCTCTCCTCATGGCAGTCGCCCTCTCCAGGGTTGACGCGAGGCTCACCGCCATGCGTCACAATGTGGCGGCGGCCCTCCGCTGGGCCAAGGCCAGCGTGAGGCCCACCGGGCGCAGCACGAGGCTCACCGTGCGCCGCGACGCGAATGGAGGTATGCAGCTACATGGTCCGACCCGTCGTCCAAGCAATCATCCGGCATGAAATGCATCTGCGCCCGTGCGTTGTCGTTGTCTTGACCGTATGATTGAGTGTGCGTGCCAAATGAAATGTCACAGGTTACTTGCTGGAGAAGGGTGCACCGGTGCCGGTGCCGGAGCTGACCTGCAACAAGGTGCACGGGGTGCAGGCGGGCGAGACGTGCTCCTCCGTGGCGCAGGGATCTGGGCTGAGCCAGGACGACTTCCTTGGCTTCAACCCCAACATCAACTACGAGAAGATGTTCATCGGCCACTGGGTCTGCCTTGAAGCCACATCTGCGCGCTTGAGTGCCTGCATGCCTGGCTTAATTTGCGCTGCCCCCTTGGTCCCTGCATCGCGACGACGATGAGTCATGATCTAGCTTTTAATAATTAAGGAGGCACATCCTATCACTACTACCCAAAGGGTTTCTAGGGACGGCCGCTTTGTAGAGACGGCTCAGTCAGCTATTTCTACCATACCGTCTCTACAAATTATGAATATAGGGGCGGTTCTCAGTCCGCTCTTACAAATCGATTTGTAGAGACGGCTGGTGTTATCAGCCGCCCTTACAAATCATTTTGTAGGGGCGGCGGGTAACACCGATCGCCTCTACAAAATCGATTTGTAGGGGCGGCCGTAGTACCAGCCGCCCCTATAATACCTGTTTGTAGAGGCGATTCAGTCTTGAACCGCCCCTACAGTATATTTTTCCTAAAAAAATTCAAATTCGACCAGAAAATATATATATATATATAATTATTTTAAATCTGACTAGAACATATATAATTCAAATCTGACCACAAGCACAAGAGCATTATATAAACTACCATTACAAGTCTAATTCATAAGAATATATACAATCCATCATTAAATAGACATAATTCACAAGTCTAATTCATTCCACAAGTCCAAATCGTCCGACAATGTAAGACCAATGTTAAATTCCATACACATTGTTATCAACGGTCTAGAGCTAGGCTTTTAGTCTCACGAAGGTGTTGGTACTGAGGATTTCTACCTAAGCCAGAATCTCGGTTATGGTAGATGCCTTTGACGTATACAATTAGGTCTAATATGAAGTTGCAAAGATCGCCGACAAGCTCTAAGAGTTGGTCATCCTTGTATGGATCTCTTTTTATTTCTTTCTCTTCTTTCCACTACAAGAGAATAAGTTTTGGTTTAGTATTTCATATCATGTGCGAAGTTTTTATACTATGGGTGATAGTTTCAAACTTATCCTTAACGGGTGTCTCCTGTAGGCACCGGTGTTACTTATCATAGAACATATATAGTATCCACAATGTACACTCCTAGGTTTCTGCTTGGGGCACTGTGTGTTTTGCATATGGAAATGTTAAGTAATGCTTTTGACAGCCATGTAATGGAGTACTAAAGTAAGTTACACTTACCGCATATAGTGTTTTTATAGCCAGCCTTTCCATCCTTACTGGATCATGCCTTCCGTAATGTTTATTAACATAGAATCTAAATAACATGTTTGAATTATTTTAACAAATACAACTTGTTAGTATCCAAAAGTGAACGTTATAAGTATGTATACAAACATATAAGCTAATAAGGATTGTCGATATATATACGTCTTGAGAATCGATATGAAGTCTTTGTATGTCACTGGGTCCCTATCTATTGAATCAAAAACCTATGCCATGCTCCTTCCGACATCGACGTCTATACAAATCCAGTGGTTGTTGCATGAATTTAATCATAGAACTAGATAAGCTCTTTTGCATCGAATAAAATATATCGAACAAAGCTTTAAGTATAGAGTTGAACTTACTCGTAGGTTTATGGTAGCCATATAGTAGAGTGTTGTTGTAGTTTTTTAAAAGCCAAGATAATGTATGCTGAAACCTTAAGGGACTCTTTCCTTAATTTCTTCGCATGGATGTCCTCTTTCTCTTGAAGGGTCTTTCCAGCAGCTAGCTCTTTGGCATCCAGTTTTCACTGTCTTGGGTAATTAAAATTTGTTTGTGCTATAGCTTGAGGGTCTATATACCCGGCTTTCACACTTAGCATTTATTTTATAATGTACACTTGCATTCTACAAATCACGACGTGGGTTAGTCACAACAAAATTCAAAGATTATATTCATATCATATCAGGAGGGCAAGGACTTACAGGCACCACATGCGAATTAGATTCATTTCCATTGCTCCAAGGTGAAAGTGTCGACATAGAATTTTCGTCCCGTGCCGAGAACACACGCAGCAAGCCGGAAGGGTCCGCTCGATGGAGCAAATCTGCCTAGCTTCAGCACAAGGGTGATCGATCCTGCGCACTCCTCCCGAGACGTGCCAGTCAATTTGACCCTGTAATTGACAAGGAGAGAAAGTTCATCAGTAATTAAGGGCAGAACTTGCCGGTGTTGCCAGACAGTCCCGAATGTACGTCTATGAGAGCCGATATGAAAGGAGATCGACTAAATAGTCAATTTCAGCATATTCATAAGAATAAATCAATTAAAGCTCATTGGGTTATATAAAAAGAATCGGTTATCATTCAGGGCACATATCATTGATGGAACAAATATTAATCAATGGTAATAAGATATCAACAATGATCGGTTTATGCTGAGCCAATGATTATAAGTAACCGAACTCCTTTTATATAAAGAAATAATTCAACGTCATTTGACCATTTGATAAAGATAAATCTAATAAACATGTTAGATCTCATCTATTGCTATGACAAGTGGGGCATAAGGCAGAATCATGCAGGCCGTAGAAATAACAATAAACTTGACGGCCCTAATTTATTACTAATATCAGTGGGGCATGAGGCAGAATCACACAGGCCGTGATAACGGGCCATGGAACGGTTATCAATAGCCAATAAACCTACTCAAGACGCAACACGCCTTAACCACACGCTATGCATGATTAGGATTGACATAAAACAGCCGATAAAACATAACTCATCATTTAAGGTGTGGATTAAATCAATTTGAGGTTAGCAAATGATGGGCTAAACAAGATATAAGGCCGATTTAGATCAATCCCAATCGGGTAGAGTGATATTGATGTAATTAGATAAACAATGAAAGCAATAAGCAATATCGGTAACTTAATGAATCTACCAAAGAATGTCATTCTAAGGTAGAGCCGATAACTTGACCTTGATTTAATTCAAGCAGTGGGGTGTGAGGCAGAATCACACAGGCCATACTTCAATTAGACAAGAGTCGATAACTAGCTTATAACAGAGCCACAGTGGGGGTCGACTGGATCGATGCAGCCATACGAACAGAGGTATAAACCATGACGGTACTTACAACAAGCAGTGGAGGTCGACCGGATCGATGCAGCCGTACTTGCCGAAGAACTCGCCGAGATCTACTCTACTCCTACTCCTAAGGGGTGGCCGGAGCCAAAAAAGTAATTGACTTGTATTTGATTGATTGGTTGTCTTTTACAATAGCCGGGGTTTGGTATTTATACCCGGGACCTGCGCATGACTCCTATCTAACCATGACTCATCACAAATTTTGACTCTAAAGAAAACATTCCTAATTTAAGATAACTTCGACTCTAATCTTTTCTTTTTTGCAGAGTCCTACATGTTTTGTCCTAGCGCTGAATCGTAGCCTTCGTCGTTATCCGCTGGCGATATCCGGAGAAAGCCGATTCCAGTTTTTGGCATCCGAATCAGCTGGTTTCGATCTGCACGCAACTGATTCCTTAACGACATGATTTTGGGAGCTTTCGAGTCCCTGCAACTCTTCTTCCAAATTTTGGTGTAAACAGAAAGCATGTCTACGTGTCATTGAAGTCAACGATAATTTTCCCGGCTGGGCTTTCAAATGTACTAGTGGGGAAGCATGCTTGTACGAGGTTTATGCTCGTTAGGAGAACACGCATGTATCAATCTTGGAACCTTCTCATTTCAAGTGGTAGGCGCTAGATGTCTCAATTTGGTAGGAAGGGCTTGCCTCTTTCATATGTTTTCGGGCAAACCTTTGACCATTTGATGGCATCAATATTTGGATACGTATTTGCTGTTTGGTGGACTTGGCTAGTGACGGCCACCTCAGAAGCCCATGTTGGGACTTTTTTAACTTGGTTATCAGGCTTGAACTGGTCATGGGCATACCACTTGTGCACTGACGAGACGTCTTTCATCAGAACACAAATTGGTCTTATGATGATTGGATGCTTCTTTCGAAGTTCCCATTCAGGCACGTTCTCATCTTCTTGTGCATCACCTTCTTTAGGAGGCACTCATTGTTCATGTATCGGCTGTGCTTGTTGAGAAGACTGTGGCATCTCATCATGCACTTTCTTGGTACGAGCTAGAGAAGGTTGTGGCTTATCAGGCACATGCTCGCTAGGAGGTGGGGAAGAATGTGGCATCTCAGAAATGTGGTGGTCACAAGACGGTGAAAATATCTCCCCGTCCTCAACAACTCGCTCCAAATTTGAGAGAGGGGGAGGCGGTGAAGAAGCAATCAATAACTGAATATAATATCCCGTTTGTGCCAGAGGATGAACTGCCCCATTACGTTTCCGAGTAACACCATGCCCTCGAGAGTTGCATAGTCTATCCTCCACTGCATTAACTCGGGCTTCACGGTATGCACCTCGACCCTAGTGTAGTCCGACAGTATCTTATTATTGTGGTGTAAGCCACTAGGAGGATGTGCCACACCCGTTGCCACCTCCATCACAATGTTCTACCGGCCGCTGAGAAACACCAAGGTGCAACTAGTTGGTTCCCGTATGCGATCGACGGGGGTTGTGGCTGTAGTGGAACCTTGTCTGCTAGAAACTTCTGGAGGGTTGCCAACTAATGCTAGTTCTCCCAGCGGCACCATTAATGTATGTGGCTCCATTGATAGTCCTTGCTCCTCCAAAACCTTCGCAACTAGAGCCTTCACTTGAAGCTCAAGATTAGCCTCCGGTCTCTGCCATGTTTCTTGTATATGTGCTTGTCCTCTTCGAATCCGTGCTTCTAGGTTGTCCTTTTCCCTAGCTCCCCGGTGCGGCCTGTGTGCTCGTTGTTTCCCAAGCCAAGACTAAGCTCGTCCCTCTCCCTGGAAGAATTGAATGAGCCATTCTCCTTGTCTTCAGTATATTTCAGTATCCTTGATACTGCCTCTTGGGTCTCCGGCTTAAAAAAATCTATAAAAAGACTAAGTGCATAACAAAAGCTATGTATCTTAAAAAAGCCAAAACGTCTTATAATTTTGAATGGAGGGAGTACCTTTTTCTATTAAAAATATTATCTTATTAGAAACATTGAAATTCCTAAGTCTATAAAAAGAAATGCATTTATGTGTCCTTGTGAACTAACAAAATATATTGTGATGTGCTCCATCTGGTCGAATGTGGAGGTCAATTATAGAAGCA